ATATATTCAATAAGTATATATTGAGAACAATTCCCTGTCTATGAAAAAGGCTCAGTATAGTTATTGCTATAGCCCTAGTATATTAGGAAAAAAGCAATCTGGACACATTGGAGAAAAGAATAATTACTTGTTACTGTATCAAGTGTCTAAGGAACTGTCATATTTTCTTATTTCCAAGAAAAAAAATTTTCATTGATCATATTTCTTCTAATAACATGTAAATTGACTCTGCTTCCACATAATTTAGTGGTCCACAAGAAGAAAAAATTGTAATAGACCTACTCCTGCTCTTATTGAATATGTGTAACTTAAAAGTCTATGTTAAAATATAGCTCAGGTACTCGCATACCTGATACTGTGACTGTTTCTTCTTAAGATGTTCAATCCAATTTCCTGCCTTCAGATAATCCTTTTAAAATTGTAGGTGGTGGGAGAAAAGGGAGAAAAAGCAGAATTGAATTTTCAGATGTTATTACCCTCTTTTTTGGCTTTTTAGAACTAGGAAATTTATTAGAATGCATTTTACACATCCACGTACCTGGATTTGTGCTACTGTTTCCTCTGAGGAGGTTCTCTGCAACTGCTTGCCTTTGGGCGATCCCTGTGGGAAGGTAGCTGGAAGCAGAAGAGAAAGCACAAGAGAATTCTCAGGTTTTATAACTCGCGATGTGCTTGTGAATAGTTAGGAAATACACTGATTAAAGATAAGGTCACGTCTCTCAAGGAATTTGAGTTTAAAACCAAAGAATAAAAAGAGTAGTTGTGATTTTTCTGAGTTTGACAGTAGTTCTTTGTGCACTAAATTCTTCCTGAGGAACATGATGACAATTAGAGATTTTCAATAAATGATTTACTTGATTGATGAAAGTGTCATAGTGACTGAATGTAGGAGCATTCATGGCCTAAGTTCTCCAAACAGGAACCAACTTTCCATCCTTTCTTTTGCCCTCTCAAAGTAAGCAAAATAATTGCCTCAGACAGCAATTGTGAAGAAACATCACTTTTTCTCTGTCAATAACTACAATACAGCAAAAGGAGGAGAATTAATGAAAGAACACAATGTCAAATACTGGTGAAGGACAATTGTTTTAGATTTGAGATATGAACATTGAAGTATCTTTTGATGCCGTCTGCCTTAAACAAGGTATTCATGTTCACCATTCTTCCCCCCTTTTTTTACTTTTTATTTATTAGTATGTTTGGAGTATAGAACATAGAATTTTCTAATAGAAACAATTTTAAAAATGTTACTTTTTATTTTAAAATATTTCACACATAAAAGTGAGAATAATAGTAGAATACACAGTTGTATACCTATTTCCTAGACTTCACAATTAACATTTTACTATATATGCCTAATAGGTTTTTAAAAAATAATTTAATGTAAATTTTTTGAAAGTTATGATAGCTAATCTCTAAGTATCTCAGCATTTATATCTCAAAATATTTCAAAATGTGCCATCAACCTCTAATGATATTAAAAATTCACACATATAGTAATTTAAAATGCAATTCATAATAAAGATTCCCAGTTTTGACAGAAAGAATTTTAGTTTTTTGTTCTCTAAGACTGGACTGAGGACCATGAGTTACAGTTACTGTTTTGTTTTCAGTTTCTTTTGTTCTAGATCTTTTCACCTTTTTTCTTCATGAAACTAATATTTTGCACTAGACTAATTGTCCTCAAATATTTATGTTTAGAAAAAAACTCTCAGAACCATCTTTAAAGATTTTCATCTTTAAAGTATTTGTGCTGTGTAAAATTGTGAGCCATTAATAGAACTTTGAATTTGTGACTGCTCTTCTGGCCGTTCACTTTGCCCATCTGCATATGTGGTCTCTGAAAGCTGCTTCAGTAGTTGTAAGTTTGGGATTGGACTCCCTGCTTTTTCACTTAGTCATGGAATATTTGGCAAGTCACCTCACATCTATGAGCTTTAGTTTTTTACTTGCAGAGTAGGAGTGGTATATACCTTAGCTTTGTGAGTAGAGAATTAGAGAGAAGGTCCACATTATGCTTCTAATTTGGAAGCACTCAGCTACTTTGTTGCATCACTGGGGAGGTGGGGCATTTAAAACAAGACCGAGTTAGTAGATATGGATTGTAATTTTTTCTCCCTCCTGCTTTTTTGCTAGGAAATATAAATGTTCATTTACAGTGTACTCACTATAGTCAAAACTGACTGTAAAATGGAACTCTCTTTTTGGTACTGGGGATTGAACTCAGGACTTTGTGGCATATTTACTTATATGTTTCTAGTTTCTTTTTTTCTAAACATTTTCATGTCTTCTTTTCTTCATGGTATACATATTGAATGACTGGGCCCATTGTCTTACAAGTATTTCTTTTTAGAAAAACATTCAAGAACTACTTTTGTACAGGATTTCAAAGTTTGGTATTTCCCTTTGGTAAAAATTCTAACCTGGAATACACTTTTGAAGGTATGATTCCACTTTCAACCAGTCAGTTTCTCTTTGGGGCATATGGTCTCTGAGAGCAGGTTCAGAAGTGATGTTCTTTGAGTCCCTGATTCTTCACGTTATAGTTTAGGGTTTCTAGTTTAATGGCAGTATCACAAACCCCATGAATCTCCTGACTTAAGTCAGCAGAACTACATAAGTTAACTGAAAATCTAAAGTTAGATGCTATAGCTGTTTTTCTGCTCCTCTGCACTCGCACCTCTACAATAAAGGCTTCATTGTTGGAAAAAGCAAAAGCAAAAAGAAACTTCTTATCTCATTCTGAGGAAACCCACACTCAATGACTTCATTGAAATGTCCATTCAAGTAGAGTTCATAGGGAAAGGCTTTGCCATCTTGCTTTGCATCTTGATCCCCAGCCTGATGGAATTTTGGGATTATGTTTTTGTACTTCCTCTGTAGAACATAATTAGAATATGGAGAACAGTTATTTTAGTCCTTTTATCAAAACAACCTTTTCTCTGCCAATATTATTGTAGAGATTTTTGTTGTTTGAAACGAATCTATTATTATTGAAGTCCTGAATTGACTTCCAGTGAAGTTTTAAAAATGACTTTGCAGAATGAGAGAGTCAACATTACCCACTTCCAAGTGGTCACTGACTGACTCCTGAACCCAGCCCAAATGCTGCTCCTAAGGTGACATATCTTGCACTGTAGGTAGCAGTGTGTTAGGGCAAGGTAAGAGCATCAGAGTGTTAAAGAACATGTTAGGATAGCATGTGCATTTCATGGTGCCTCAAAGGTGAACCTGAAAAGCTTGAAGAAAATAATAAAATTTATGAAAACTGTATAAAATACTGTAGAAAAGAGCACTATTTTGAAATTAAAATTAGTATCTATTTTCTATATGATTTTAAACATGTTTAGATCAAACCAAATTATTAACAAGTATAAATATAAAATGACATTTTTATTTTATTTTTTCATTTTTTAAAATTGAGTTTATTGGTATATTTTAGGTATACAGTACAGTTACATTCATTATTGAGATCTTGCACCTCTACATGACAGGTCTTGGTTCTCATTTTTTCCCCTTGTCCCTGCCCTCCCTTCACCCCCTCCTCCCCTCCCCATTTAGAAACACTTTATTTGTATCTTTTCATTTTCTCACATGTTTTTCTTGTCCCTTATTACCCTTCCCCTACCCATCCCACCTTCCCTACACTTTTAGCCCTTTTCTTCCCATTTCACAATGTCAGTTATCTCATTAGGATCTTATGTACTATTACAGTTTATTGACACCAGAGAAACTATGCAGTATTTATACATGTGTGACATTTATTTCAGGAGTATATCATCAATATGTATCCATTTTCCTATGAATGAATATAATTTCTTATTCTATATGGCTGAGTAGCATTCCATTTTATAGAAAAACCACATCTTCTTTATCCAGTCTCCAAATGATGGGCCAAATGGGTTGTTTCCAAGTTTTAGCTAATACAAACTGTGGCGCTATAAACATTGGTGTGCATATATCAGTGTGGTATGATTATTTTAATTCTTTTGGAAAGATACCCAGCATAGGGATGGCTGGGTCAAATGGAACCTCTAATCCCAGCTCTTTGAGACATCTCCATATTGATTTCCATAGTGGTTGCCCCAGTCTGCACTCCCACGAACGATGGAGAAGGGTTCCTTTCTCCCCAGAACCCCACCAACATTTGTTATTGTGTCATTTCTTTTTTTAAAAATTGAGTTTATTGGTAAAATCTAGGTATACAATACAGTTACATTCATCATTGCGATCCTTTACCTTTACATAATAGGTCTTGATTCTCATTTCTTCCCCTTGTCCCTGCCCTCCCTTCACCCACTCCTCCCTTCCCCATTTACAAACACTTTTTTTCCATTTTTTCAGTTTCTCATATTTTTTTCCTCTCCCTTATTACCTTTTCCCCACCCTTCCCACTTTCCCTATATTGTGTGATTTCTTGACAGCAGCCATTCTTTGTGGGGTGAGGTGGAATCTCAGTGTTGTTTTCATCTGCATCTCTTGAATGACCAGTGATGTGGAACATTTTTTCATATATTTACTTGCTGCTTTTACTTCTTTGTCTGAGATATGTCTGTTCATTTCAGATGCCCATTTTTGAATTGGGTCTTTATATTTGGGGGGATGATTGTTTTGAGTTCTTTATATATTCTTGATAATAGTCCTTTGTCTGAGGAGCAGCTGGTAAAATTTTTTTCCCACATAGTAGGTTGCCTCTTAGTTCTGTTGATGGGTTCTTTTGCAGTGCTGAAGCTTTTTAATAAGATGAGATCCCAGTTGTTGATTCTTTCTGCTAGTTCCCATGCTACTGAGCATTTCTTCATAAAATTTATCCTATGCCAAAGTCTTCAAGAGTTCTGCCTAACTTATCTTCCAGCAAGTTTAGTGTTTCTGTTTTAATATTTAGGTCTTTCATCCACTTGGATTTTAATTTAGTGCATGGTGAAAGATGAGGGTCTAGTTTTAATCTATGGCAGGTTGAAATCCAGTTTTTCCAACATCATTTATTAAAGAAGCCATCCTTCCTACAGTGGGGATGGTCAGCTCCTTTGTCAAAGATGAGGTAGCTGAGTACATCTGGAGTTGTTTTTGTGTCTTTCAATCTGTTCCACTGATCCTCAGATCTGTTTCTTTGCCAGTACCATGTTGTTTTTATCACAGTGGCTTTGTATTATAGTTTCCAATTGGGAATTGTTATACCTGCTGCCATGTGTCTGTTGCCTAGGATGGCTTTTGCTATTCTAGGTCTCATGGTTCCAAATGAATTTTTGGATTCTTTTTTCTAGTTCTGTGAAATATAGTGTTGGAATTTCAATTAGCATTGCATTGAATCTATATATCAGTTTTGGTAGTATGGCCATTTTCACTATGTTGATTCTTCCTACCCAGGAGCAGGGGATATCTTTCCATTTTCTTATATCCTCTTCGATTTCTTTTTTCAGAGTGCTGTAGTTTTCAGTGTAGAGGTCTTTTGCTTCTTTTGCTAGATTGATTCCTAGATAATTCATTTTTTTGGATGCTATTGTGAAAGGAATTGTTTCCATAATTTCTCTCTCAGTGAGTCTATTATTTGTGTACAAGAAGGCTATTGATTTCTGGGTGTTCATCTTGTATCCAGCTACTCTACTGAATCTGTC